CGAAGACCTTCTCAAAGGTCTGTCTGGTCTCGTTCACCCTAACGAGCGTGAATGCTTTAGCAGGAATAGATAGTGGGCTGATTCCACGGTAAGCATTTGAATCTTTGTAACCGTCTTTCTTTAATATTGGGACCACAGTATCACTCGTCCGTCCATTTTAGATCTCCTCTTTTTGCCATACCAATCCAATCAAATCCATTTATGCCAACACTCTATTTATTCAGCACTGGTTGTATTTCATCAGTTCCAGCAGATGTGCAACTTTGCAGTTTGCATAAGGTAAGTAACTTCTTCAAATGTCGCTGCCGCAGTATCTGCATCCGTCTTTTGTCCTGATATGATATCATGCGGTGAATTTTAGAATCACATCAGCTTTTAATAGCGATGCGGAAAGTTTCCCCTAATGACTTCTATAGGATCGCACATGAAGCTATGAAATAATGTACCTCCTCCTTCACAACAGATGACATTTTTCTTCGAAGTAACAGTGGAATGTTTTGAGCAGCGCCTTCATATCAGTTTCCGATCCTCATCTTCCATTATTCCAGCCTACAACTTAAACAAAAAGTCTCATTCATTCTTCCGTAGTGATCCTTAATGTTTTTCTGAATTGCTCTTCCGAAACCTTGTCCTTTATCAACCTTGAAAGCCCAATAACTCTGCCGTTTCCGGTCCCAAACCTGAATGAGAAAGAATGATGGCGTAGACCATGGCGAAGTCTCCGCAAAACGTAGCCACCTGCGCCACATGCTCTTGCCGTCATCGAACATTTTACCAGATCGGTCATCGCCCGGATTACTAAAGGCCGAGCAGGCTGTTACGGGACTGAGGCAGACTACGAAATGTGGGCGATCAGAATCTGTTCATCGCCCTCTGCCAGCCAGCAGCCTAGAAGCACACCAATGCCTGACGAAGACCGATGAAGCGACGACAAAGATACCAGTCAGCAACGGAGTCGCTACCCGTTCTGAATGGAGGAGGCAGACAACGCGATGCCATTACAGCACGTCAGAAAGACACCACTAGTGGGAGCTTACAGTCGGAAATTGGAACATTTCCTCAGTCAGAGGGAAAGTGCTGCAGTTAATGAATGAGGCCGCAAGGTACCAACTCAACATACTTGGAAGGACCGCCAAGGCTCTGGAATCCTGAACCTCTGAGGGAGGTAGGTATTCTACTCAGATGTCGATATCACGACACCCTCTCAGGCCGATGTTGGTGTTCTAGAAGAAAACAACGTGTCTGGTGGAATCAACGAACGGAAGCTTGTCAGCGGAAGAGTGGCAAACCTCCTACTGAACTTACAACAGGCTAAAGCGTTGACTTTGTTACAGGTCTATGCGGCCAGTTTCGAGGAACAGTATGACTCCTTCCTTGAGGAAGTGCAGTGTTCTCTGTACGAAGTGCCGACTACAGAGTCCCTCATTCAATGGGCAATTTGTATGCCCGTATCGGAGCAGATACTCAGGAGTGGAGGGCTCTAGTGATCTCAATAACAACGCATGAGGTTGCTGCAATTGTGTGCAAGCAACAGACTGTTCATTATGAATCCATTATGATCACCTTCTTCCAGTGTCGAAGAGTGCATCAGTACATCTGTTACACGGAAGCTTGCGCACAGACATCGATGATCGATTTCATATTTCGTGTAGTCATACTTTCGGAGCTGTGTAACTGATGTTCACTTTAAGGGAGGCGCAGAGATGTCAACCGATCACCACCTCGTTGCTGACACGCTACTCTCTGAAAAAGGAACTACCATGCAACGATCTGGCTGCATAGGGAACAAGAGAATTAAATGGAAAACATTTTCGTCTGCGGACGCGAGGGCAAAACTTGCGCATAACATCACACAGTGGTTTGAACAGATCCCGGTGATGACCGATCAGTGGGAGCTTATTAAGAACTGTCTGCTCGAGGCTGCCGCCGAATGCTGCGACTGAAACGAGTGGGCTTACTGTCTGGAGTACAGAAATAAACTTTCTGGTGGACACGAGAGGTACAAATCGCAGTTAAAGAGAAGAAGGCTGCATTCCAGAAACGGCGTTGAAGCAAAGAGCTTTCTATGCACATGCGATATGCACAACAGCGCTAGGTGACAGCTACAGCAGTGGTGAAAGTCAAAGCTAATATTTCCAGGAAGTTCGGTGAGGTGTTGGAGTCTAATTTCTGGACGGCATGCAAGACATTCTGGCAGAATTTCCGCTGGTTGCGAGGTGAAAAGAAGGGCAGTCTAAAAGTCTTGAACGACGAGCCTGAAGGCCCTCTTCCGAGGATGAGAAGATTCTTCGAAAATGGAAACAATACTTTTTTGGAAGTACTTGACCCAGAGCAAACGCAGGAACACAGAACGAATATTATTATTTCCCTCGATGAAATCACGCAGGGTGAGCAAAGCTTGAAAAATGGAAAGGCTGCTGGAATTGACGATGTCCGCCCTACCGTGCCCAAGGCAACAGGCGAATAAGGCGGCGTCGAAACGTGTAGATAAATATAGGATTTGCATTGTCCCCGTTAATTATTGTCTTGATCCAAGGATCAGGAAGCATATACCGTATACTACGGTCTGTTCAAACCGGCAGCAGATCGATAAAATCCAAAGCGCTTTAGTCCCGCTTTTTTTCGTTCAATTTTTGTAGTACGTTATGTCAAAACTTTTTCTTACCAGATGGCCAATGATGTCAGAGCAATGATAATATGATTGAGACCGTCGAAGAAGCTGACCACTGCAACGACTCGTTTCCCCAGATACGCACACATCATTCCAAAGGCGATGCAGAAAACGATGATCCCTAAACAATGGTAGTTTAGTGTGATTGTTAAGTTAGCGAGTGAGTGAGCGAAAGCGGCTAATGCACCTAGAACATTGATACCCGGTTTGAATTCGAGCTTGCGAACAAGTTTAGTGATCATGTTGTTGATAACGTTTTCATCACTGACGGTGGCATTTGTTGCTGTTGCTGCTGAACTGGCATGAGGATTTACCTCCTCAGGAACGTGAATGGTTTGCACCTGCTGAATCGCCGCCTGAATGATGTTCTCCGGAAACATGTTTCTGAAAATGCGACGCAATGTGAAGTGACACATTCACTGAACGTATCAATTTAATAAATCATAAAGGAAAACGTTACAGCTTAAGTTAATGCAATTTTGGTAATAAGTTGTTATATTGTTCTTTCATGTAAGCGTGACAGGCCGTTCAGGCCTTGCTAAAATTTATTTTCCCATGGTCTGACCCTCACTCCCTCAGATTGGAAAAATGTTGGTAAGAATCCGCGATGAACGCGGGTGGCTCTCGCAGAACATATGTAAATGAGCCAGTTTGTCTCTATGAGCAAGACTTTTGCTTAGAGCTGTTGTTGTGCACGGTTTGTAAAGTAATTGCCGCTGGAGCCTAAAGTTGGATGATCAGGCAACGCTGCAACTCATCCTCACATGCAGACACATCTTGAACTAGCTGACGGGATGGACCCACTCAGCAGACTACTACTGAGCAGTTTCTATGTCAATGTATTTTTGTCTCACGGTGACTGACAAGGTTACATGTACAAAATCAGTATTCCCTTTCACGAGTATCACTGATTTTTATCATTTTCCTCATGACTCTACCCTGTAAGCGACGTTACCCACCATAACCTCGATATTCTGCTGAACTTTTCTATGTGGCCTAAAATTTAATTGAGGTGAGTTTAAGTAATTCAGTGTCGTGTGATATATAGGGCGTGGAAGTAGGTCACAGTTAAGCGAAATGAGCCCAATAATGACTAAGGTTAAAAGATTTGTGGCAATAAAAGAGCTGGGGAGCAGTGAGAAACTATCCGTTGATACATGCATGTATACATACCCCCAGGCATGCATGCATGGGCTCATTGAAGACCAATCGATACATACATGTATAAATAATTCTGCCTTGGCTTCGGCTTCGCCAAGGACCTCGATGTAGACCGAAAGAGTACCACCCCAGCTACAGAAAACAAGCGGTATAAACAATGTCTGCAGTATTGATCACCTTGATATTCTGGCACAACTGTCACAAATAGCCGATTAGCGCAATATTTTGTCTAATCACCGGATTTACACAGCGTAATGGCACCGCCCCTTGCTTCTAGAAACCCGGGGGCCCTTTTCGGCAGGCACCACGAATTTCAGCTCTTGCAGCGAGCAGTCGAGAAATGCGTGATCAAATGCAAACACAAGAACGCAAAATCAGTTGATCGCGGACCAAGTGAAAAATTTCACAATTTCCATGGATATTTTGTTTTCATCGATGGCCTTGAAAAGCGCAATTTTTTCCAATACCCCAAGGATATCCGGTGATTAGCGGTTTATACAAATACCGAAGGTTTGTGGCAATGTTCAGTCGGTGCTCGAACAGTCATTGCTCGTAACTTTATCCTCCGAGGGGAAAGAAATGTTGTAAAAGCAGAGCAAGGCTAAATGTACAACCACGACTAAATGCGAAGGTATTTTCGTTTTATTTCTACTAGAAACGGAAATGCAGCGTTATTTTATGCGGCGGTATGCGGTGGTATTTATGCATTACAACATGATCAAATGGAAAGAGTGGAAATTGCGATCACAGTAGCTAATAATGGAAATGTACTTAAGTGACATGTGCACAAAACGGCCAAAATGGACTAGGAAACATCAATAGGAACAAAGCAATCGACGAGAGTGCTAAAATTGATAATCGTAAAATTTAAAGTAAAAGTTTCTCTTCCACAATGATTTTAGGAAATAAGCCATCTGAGTCGTATCATGCAATAATCTAAAGAAAAAAAATGGGAAAAAACGATTTAACAAGCCAAGAATGACAACAAATTCAAATAAATACAAACCTCCAATGGGCGGTTCAGTTAAATCTCAAGTATTTACTAGTGAACTTGGTGCGGTAGATGTTGCAGTAGATTTTAAAGATCAATATCCTCAATCACCGCCAAACCGTTTATGAGGAAAAGCAATCCAAGTGATAGGAATGACTGTTACGGGATTACAGGACTTAACAAGTCTTCTATAAGTGGAATCTTTGTCATTGCAGATCATACGGAATACGGAATACCTCCCCACTGGATGAAATGAGATACAAAGTCATTCATATTTCCTTTTCCCACGTTCCCTCTCCATAAGCCAGTACAACTTTGATCAAAATTATGCATAAAATAAATTTGTTATGCGCTGTCACTTTGTAAGAGATGTTTGTCATTGTGAAATTAATTTCATTTCGACCGGCATTCTTAAATGTAAATTAAGAACACGTATGGTACCTGATCAAATCTAGTATGGTGTCAAGTGTATGCACCGATTTGTTTTCAGCTGTCGGTAGGTTCAGCCTCGTAGAAACGTCCCCCGGGTGTATCAGTAGTACCAGAGAGATGCCCAAGACGACGGCGACGAACGTTGTCAGCATGTAGTACATGCAGGCGTAAAAGCCGATTCTGCCTGATGACCGGACGTCCAGCTGCGACAGACCTACATTCAGGATTTCAACCGTTTGTTGCCGACGGCTGATTGGTGTGACGACTTACCCGATATGACGGAAGTGATGATCAGGGGCAACACCAGCAATTTTAGAATGTTCATGAAAATCTCTCCAGGATAAGAGAGCAGCAGCACGGTGGTATCTGACGGGCGAGCCATTCGGATAAGGAAGCCCAGTAACACGCCAAGAATCACCGAAATGAAGGTGAGAACAAGAAGAAGATTCTGCCGGATCCATCTGCGTATCTGTAAGATAACAGACAATATGTGATGGTGATACACATAATTAAATAAAATTAATATAATGAATAAATATGCTAATGTCGAATAAATGAACACTTTAGCCAGCACCAGCATGGTTCCAAACATAGGAGATTTGCACATATGTATAGCAATATTTTGTATTTCAAGAACTAAAACCTGAAGTTAGTTAGAATGTTCATTACATGGGGAATGTGTTTCAAACCACATTTCTCCTTAATTACTTACCGTATTTTAATGGTCATATTTGGTTTTTTTGGTCTACAGGAAACCAGCCCACTTCAATCGATACGTCCACCCCACGTCATGCGCCCCTCCTGATTTGCTTAGGAATGTTGTTAAGAACATGCATCTAAGAGCCCATGAAACCTGTATCGTCATTCCCTGTTCAGTCCATGAATTCAATACCTACATCAGACGTTTCTAAAGAATGGCTACCGAAGGAGGATGTTTGAAGAAGAACTTTTGCACCCTAGCTCAAACTTAACGAAACCCTGCCCACTTAGATTATTGGTAATTTGCCGTTCATACATCAGGTATCTCAACATATCAGGAGGTATCTTAAAGATATGAGATTGAACTCGCTACAAGACAGGTAGAATATTGGGCAACGTCTTATTCAAGAACGGCATACCCAGTAACTCGGAAGAAATGTTACATGTTGCATATGAAATCCATTTCTATAATCCCGAAGTGCTCACAGAACTTCGAGCTTCAGTAAAGTCCTATCATCTCTGGCATTTCTTCGATCGATGGTGGGATGCAGTCAACATCTAGATCTTGTCCAACTTCCTCTTTTATTTGGAGATTTACCAGAGGACCGGGCGTATAGAGGAGCTTTACGAAGTGATCAGCCCATCGTTCTGATGGCCATCAGTGACTCGTAGTCGCTCTTTGAACTTGCTGTGTGGAGACAGGGACTAAGCTTTAGTCTGCCTCTGCTGGTGTTGATGCACACCTGGCCATACGGCATCTTCCAGTTCCCAATCCTCGCTGCGTTTTTGAACTTCTTCGCTTCGAGATCTATCCATCATTGGCTATTATTATTACAGTTGTTATTTGCGCTGAATGATTGAATTGATGTCAACCATACCTGACTCCTCACCAATGAAAATCTATTTTATGCTACAGTAAGTAATATTCTATGTATTAACATATATGTGAGTAAGCTTCCTTATTTTATGAAAGCGTATGGGGAGATTGGGTGTTAAACCTTGCTCACCTCCATAAGGTACTACCTACTGGATTCACATTGTGGTGCAAAATATCGAAACATGACGCCGATGATCAGGTATTCGCAAACATCAAGGGGGTACCTGATATTGCGTCGTTACAGGCAGCTCCAGTTGCCAGGAGTAAATTCTCAATGGCGTTCAATCAGGAACTGGAAAGGCATTTGCATTTGTGGTTAAGTGATTTCTGCAACTGCTTACTCACCGCCGCTAGTGAAAGTTTTGCACTACTCCAGAGAGTACATATCAGTCAATCTACGTGAGCAAAAGCTGAGAAGCTGCCCAATGAGCGGAAGCGAGCCAGACTGACAGGAAATGAGACATTGGCGAAAGCGAGGGAAACAAAACAGAAATGCTATCTGAGTGAAGAAAGGAACGAGTTAAAAGTGCTCAAGGTTACGGAAGAAGAGTCCAACTACGAAAATCCAAGACAAACATTTTTTCTCTAATCCGGCTATACGGCGGTAAATACGGCACCAACTCATCCGTTGTTAGTTTGTAAGAGAGAACATAGATGTGTCGAGCGTTTTTGGGATCATTCCCGGTGGCTGATGAACCGTTCGCCGCCTTTTCTTCCAACTGTTCCCTTCCAGCAAAGCAAGATGCCTGATTATGACTACAGTGTTGATGTACGATCTCGTGAAGAGGTGATAAACGCTCTAAAAAAAGGCTAAATGGCAAAGCATATGAAGTGCGTGCCGAATTATTGAAACATATGGATAAATCTGGATTGCAGTTTCTGTCGAATATCATCAAGGAGAATTGGCGAACAGAGACCATACCAGAAGTGGCGCCATGCAGAGTAACTGTTAGCTTTCTGATGTCCTCTGAAAATGCAGAGGAATTAGCCTCCTTTGCAAGATCCTGAAGATCGTGCAAGAACTGTCGTCAGCCGAATTTGGCTCTAACGAGAAAATATTACCAGAGAAGAACAAAGCGGATTCAGACTGATCAGATCGACCATCGGCGAATCCTGACATAGCACTGTTTGCTGGAAACTTGCAGTCGATACGACGAACTATTGTTCATCGGCTTCGTCGACTCTGAGCCAGCTTTCGACTATCCAGATCGTGGAACACTGTACCAGCTGTCAACAGATGACGTATGCCAGAAAAAATAGTTAACACGTTGAAAAACACCTCCACCAGGACAACGTCGGTGTTTCGAACACGTTTAACGGTCTCTGTCAGTTTTCTGATTAATTGTGGAGTACGGCAAGGGTCGATCATCAGGCAGACGCTGTTCAATTACGGAATCGACGACGTGACGGCAGAGACAGTTACGAACTTTAATAGTGAATTAATATTCCATTCATAACAGCGCCGTTTACAAGATATGGATCATAATGACGACATCGCGGTCGTCGCAAAAATATTGGAAGAACTGCTGAAAACGCTGATGACAATGAAACGGTCAGTGCCAAGTACGGGTTCAGACCGAAACCATCAAAACGCGAAATCCTTGCTTCACGGCATGCCCCAGGGAATGTCACCATCATGACAATTGACAGATGATCACCAGTAAGGAAGTTACGAAACAGATGTTCAAGAATGAATCACGAAGCCTCGAATAGCGTACAGGGTGCTGCAGATATTATATTATATGCAATCATATTAAATTGCAAAGATACTAATACTTTTAGCATCTGTGAAAAACCACTGTCTGTATGTCAGTGAACGTCTACGCATAACCGATAGCTATTCGACTTGTACTGATGCATGCTTTAACAGAAGAAGAAACTAATGTGTTAGAAGGATCTTAGCGCTCTGATTGAAGTAAAGTTAAAATGATACAAATATCCAATTGTCTGAGGGTATTAGAACAAACTCAAGTGGAGTCCATTGAGCAGGGACTAATATTAAATTACCCTCTGGTGAAATTTAAAAATCTAAAATTTTCGGTCTTAAGCCGCGTATACATCAGCATGTGTGATATTAGTGTGTTTAGTGTGTTTAATGCGCCGAACATATGCTGGGAAAAGCCGAGAAGCAGGTCAGAAACCCCATGGTTACATAACATCAGATGCGAGGTGTCTACAACGGAGTTGGGCTGCACTTACTGACTACTTGCGATCCAAGCTTGGTACCAGGGTTGGCTTGGAATCGTATCCGATATGACACAAAAGAGAATACAATAGCATATGGCTACAGAAAGTGAGGGATGTCATAATTCTTTGTGGCATCTAATAAGTGAGTCAAGTCATACGAGGAAACCACCGTTCGAAACATCGTTGACGTCGAGCAATGAGCTGCACTGAGCAATAAAGCAATGCCAGATGCACTTACGCCTGACAAGTACTACAACATGATTGAATCAAGGTCGGCTTAAAAAGCTGTTCAAAAATCTGGGGACAAGGCAAATAATACCATTCATAGTGAAATCCAGATTCGAAAAAACTATGAGTTAGCGTCGTCAAGAGTTACATGTATATAAGGGAGTTTTTGGCAACGAGGAATCGTTTTATTTGTAAGAAACCACCGACCGTCATCGATTCAGAGGCCTTAATTTCTTCTACTTCTCACGACAGAGCCTTTTGTCCTACAACGTTTTAATGCATTTTTAACGTATGTTTCCATGGAATTATGTCTGCCCGGTGTTTCAACGTAGCACCGATGAAATTTCGATGACAGCCGATGGAATTATGCCCATCGAAGAATTACGTTACAAATGTTATGTAGATAATATATTTCCGAGGCTTGTCATTTAGCGAGTATATAGAAACATGACGGCATTCTCTTTAAACAAAACAGCTGCCACTGACAGGAGGAAGTATGAGCATTAGGATAGTTTGAAACTGAGCATATGTTCGAAAATATTGTTTAAAGTATTCTAATGATCAATAGTATCCCAATACTAATTCAAAACTAGTCGGTCCGGTTCTTAGGATTTTATAACGAGTTCATCTGCCGGGGTTTCAACGATGAGGACGACATTTTCAGAGGCTTGTTTGCGGCAAAAAATCTACTTTACCTCACGTTTGCTTTCGGTGTCAATTTTTTCCCCTGGCTCCATCGCTTAAAAAACACCTAGCGGCTTGCAGTCCTCGATTCGATGAATGGTGGCCACTACCGTCAGAGGCGGCGGTGGTCGACGTCCCGGACAAAAACACGTGCCTTATTCGTTGTCGACACCGCTGTTGCCCATGTCTGCTGCTGACGCGTCCGTACGCCCGGTTGACTGTACGAGAGGCGAGGCGGCACAGGCAACGGCGCAGGAGGCCGTCCGACCGTCTGTCTGTCCGTCCGTCGATTTCACGATTCTCCATATCGCGGATGCCGTTGGCCTCCACGTCACTCGACACTTACACGTCGGCCTGGCGGATGCTGTAGAGCAACCAGCTCAGCTACCTCTCGAAACGTTACGCTGTCGTCGAGCACACCAGCGATAGGCATCAATCGTCCGTTGTTACTCGTGACGCTCGTCTTTCAACGACAGACCACTTGACAGCAACGATGGAGGGAACAGGGAACACCACTCAGTCACCCACTCATGTGATACCAATCAGTAAACGCGAACTAGTTGATTTTTCAAACGTTTTGCGCTTGTGAGCGCTTTGAAATTGCCTCATCGTTTATACATTGCCTTCTCTATCCTGTCCTGTCGATCATACTTTGTGTCCCCTGTAGCTTGTTGATTAATATGGCACAAATTATTAAGACATCGACACCATTTGCTGCCATCCAAAACACTTTCACTCAGCTGACGCTGTTTACTTTGCTCGACAACGAGCGAGCATCCGTTATTCACTTTTTTCGTTGCTGCATTCCACCTAATGACCGTTGCAATTGTACTTAAGATTAAACGAAACGAAGCACCAGTTTAATAGCGCACGACTCCTTCAAGACCATTTTCACGCTGTGCTGCTCCTCCCCAAGACTCCTAGTTGCTCAGGAAGCATTTCAGCAGGGCACAGCGCTACGGTATTTGAGTTATCTGGAATGTTATATGTGTCGGGCATCACTTGGTTCGTTAGAGCCTCCGTCAAGTCATCACAAACGATGTTTCAGAAGCTGGTACTCTTACGCATGCTATCGCATAGACATCGTACGCCGGAGTACGTCAAACAACGCATAACCAGACAAAATGCTGCGAGATGCACCTGCCGCTGCAGGTGCTCAAATACCATGCAATTGTGGCCTACTAACATAACCCGCCTAAGCATCTAGGAGAAGGGGCGGTGCATTACGCCCTGAAATCTGGTCTTGAAGGATTTATGCGTTCGTTAACATACTACGCTACAAGAACATGTTTTGAAGTTTATATGGTAGGTGAGCGATAGTTTACTGCAACACTGTGACGCATTGCCGAGTTCTTGATTTTCTCATCCGCGTTTTCCTTCGGAGAACAAATAGGTTCACTTTTCATGGCATCCTACGAAATACTTAAATATTATTCCAGAACTGAGCTACTCAATGTT